TTTTTCTTGGTGTAGATATTCATTTTAAGATAACATTTCCATTTTTTAATTCAAGTTTGTGAATTCAAATAAAACCAGGTTGATTATTTCTTGCTTTATTTGTAAAAAAAATGTGTAAAAGAGGAAGAGGAGGATATATCGTGAAAATACTTTTGTATTCTTCAAACATCTGAGGTATAATAAAAGGATTGAATAGGGTCGTGTTTGAAAGGTATTTAGCGGTAGACGCGTGGCGAAAATAACGGCTCAAGGTGTTAACGCGGTATTTTCGCGGGATTTATCGCGAAATCGGCAGTATCTGCCCGAGAGGAGGTTCGTAGATATTTATTCGCCTCACGGCTCGCCGGCGACCCGCGATGTTGTCGCGGTGCTTTCAAAAGCTCAGAAAGCGTGATACGCTCGGGACTACGGCATTATATGCGCATCTCGTGTTTCATATGTATATATATATATGTGTGTGTGTGTGTGTGTATACACACACACTCGTTTGCACGCGAAAGAGGGAAAGAAAGAGACGTACCTACCGTATACGTATATGTATATATGTATACAGGGAGGACACAGCGCGGCTCTTTGCGCAACCCCGAAAGCAATATATCGATGTTTAGCAACCAATAAACGGATCACTCAAAGAGGGCTTTTACCGTAAAGCGCCGGGTGCTTCGTCGACGTTCCCGTTCCTTCCTGCATCGTACAAATACACACAGACACCGGAGTATACATTGCATCCATGCATGTATGCCGTGTGTATGTGTGCTACGTATGTGCCCGCCAATGTACGTTTAACGGTGCCAGACGAAGTACGGCGCTTTTACGGCTCAAAGTAAACGCATTTATAGAGTCGTTCGCCAGCAGCGATGCGTGGCGTTGGTATAACATCGCGACTGACCATTTAACGTCGCTTTTATGATAATGTTATCAATAGCGTAGTCTTGTTTTCCTTCATACGACTCGTTTCTTTCTCTCTCTCTCTCTCTCTTTCTCTCGCGGCTCATCGTGCTTATTTACAGCCCACGTTTATCGCTCACCTGTATCGCCGAGAGTGCCGTCTGGAGAGATCTTTGGCGTTAATTGGACACAAAAGCCGCAGATCGCACCGTAACGGTGCGATCGCCATGTAGAAAAACGCACCTGATGCGAAAGTTACTTAGCCGACTAATGCCTTAAGGCGAATACATTAGAGCGTAATACGATATATTAGATATGTTAACGAAAATCGAAGCATGTATTTCTAATGAGCACGACGCTGCGTCATTTCTTTTATTGCATTTCACAACGGATATATTTTTGCGTTTTATAGTGAATATTATTATTAAAAAATGTAATTAAAAATATTTTTATTTTGACGCGTGTCTTCTTTAGTGTCTCGTTTAATCGCAAGAAATCATTGTATTGAGGACACTTCTGCTATATTCATTTTTTCGCATTTATCCATAACCGCTGATAAAAAGCCGGTTAAAGAAACCAAGGAAAATATCGGGGAACTCTAGAAGACAAGAGTGAGTGTCTTTAAAGATGCTCTTATATTGTTGTCGGCATCGCGATGTCACTCGCAGCGCCTTCATAATTCTTTCCGCAAGTGGAGAAACAGTTGTGGCAAACTGGCGGAAAGTGTCTTGAAGTGGAAGCTGCGATTTTGTCGTCTTTTATATTTTTACTCGCTTATCAACTTCTTAAACGATTTTAATTTTGTTATTTTGTTATCTATTGCATGTAAAAAATTGCACATTAGAAAACATATTAAATATTTTGATCATAAATTTTTTTTTGACAGTCTATAATATTGTAATTAGACAAATTAAAATAATTTTCTTATTATTTTATAATATCATGTCTTTTAATTTGTAATATTAATCATATATGCAGTATCAACTTTTTTATAGTTTTTATTGGCAATGAGAGAAAGAGAGAGAGAACACAAAGTACGTAAAAAATATAAATTCATTAAAGAAGAACCAATTGTGCATTGATTCTTAGGAAAGAACAAATCATCAATAGATACAAATAATTAAGAGTACTAAGAAATTTATAAAAACTTATAAATTCCATTCACGTTATCCTGAGATGTGTGTGGAAGCTACACAGATCGCGTTTTCTTTCGTTCGTAATATCTTACTACCATCATCAACCATTCGAGCTTCCTTGGTATCCCAGAAAACGGAGAAAAAGCTGAATCATTGTGGCGCGAATCGGAGATGCTTCCTGGAGAGATGTTCGCAAGAAAGGGGAAGGACGGACCGGATGGAGAGCGACGAGCGAGGTCGTGGGGTTGGCAGAGGGTGGAATATACGAAATTGCTGGACATTCGGTGGTGATGGTGAACTCTGGCGACCGGTGGGCAGCGGCCTTGATGTATGTGTGTATGGGGTTGGAAAAGTTGGAGTTTCGTGTACATCGAGGACGTTGGCGCGCGCGTGTACGTCGCGCACAGGACACGCCGGATTTCGGGGGGCAGAATCCTTGAAAAGCCGAGACCAGAACGCCATTGGCCGCCGACAGAGCCCCGCGTCCCCCTGCTCGGCCAATCCCGCCGCGAGCTGATAACGGTGGCGGTTCTTCTCTCCGCCTTCCGCCTCCTCAAGACGCTACGATTTCGCGCACTATATCAAGGAGAGGTGTACGTACGTATGTATGTAGGTATGTACATACATACATATATATGTATGCCCATCAGCGACTATATCGTGTCCGTTTTCGCCACCGCTCTTCTCTACGAAGATCGACCATCTTCTTTTTCTCGGTTGAGGAAATTTTTCCGCTTCTTCCCTCTCGATAGATGCTGAGGATCGTTCGTTCGGTCGTTTCCCGATGCTCGCTTTTGATATTGGTGGCCGATAGCTTGACGGAATTGCTCACGCCGCGTGTGATAACTCGGAAATTTCACCGGACGAGTTTATTCAGGGTGAGATCTTAGACTTCTCAGAGGGATGGTATTCGAGGAATATTACGGCTCTTTTACACGTTCCGGTTGTGACTTTAATTATTGAGATAATGAGAACGTGCTTAGATTGATATATTTTTTGTAAAAATTCTATTGAATTAGAAAAAGATCGCAAAATCACAAGCTTATAAAAAAATTATTAAAAAATACTGCAAAACTGATTGCATTAAATTCTGATATTAAATTCGCGACTCTTTGAAAAATATATAATTAAAAAAACAAAATGTTATATAAAATAAGAAATCTTACATTTTTTTTCTATTTTAATCGTATTTTAAAGTATGCGTTTATTTTTTTAAATGTCAGGAAAAACTTAAAAGAGTAGAAAAAAATCATGAATTTGATAAGAGGAAAAAATATGGAGAATGAATTGTAAATTATATCTGATTCTATTTATAAATTAACAAATAATAACTGAGAATATTTAAAGTAAAATATACAAACGAAAGAAAGTGGCTTTATAACAAAACAATAAATAATCAGGAGTATATACAAGTTAAAGCACAAAGTAAAATACTTTTTTATTGAATATATCGAATGATTGTTTTGAAATGATTTTGTAATCAATGGCCGAAGTTCTTTTGAAGATAAGAGCAATATGAAAAGAAGTTTTACTTAATTTTTTTTCTATCTTGCCAAAGTTGTGTGCAAGACAATGCAGGTGTTGATCTTAATTTTTTCGTCCATATTTGTACGAGTAAAAGAAGAACGATACAGTGAAAAAGATGTTTTTATGATGATTATTTTTTCATAGTGCAAACATAGTACATAAGTGTCTTATTTCATCTTTATTAACTACTTTTTTGTTCATAAATATTTAGCTCATTTACTTACTGAGAAAAAATGATTAAATTTTAATAAGTATTTATTTGATAAAAAAATAATGATTAAGTGAAATGAATGGTTCTTGTATGAAACAAAAAAACACATCTTTATATTTAGTAAACATTTAGTTGATACTTAAACAAATGGTTTATTAAAAGTTTTTAATTTTAATAATCAGGACATTATCAGAATTTTTCCTTTATCATGAATTATTCGTTTCATTTTGTATTTGAATGTCTCGTAAAACTTCAGTCAGTGGATTGGTGTTGTTTTGCATTTCCCAGCTCGAATCGTGTATATTTAAAGTAGAGAATTAGCGATTGGCTTCGTGTACACGTTCCTCGGAACGGACGACCACGGCTCTTGAGTCGTGTAAGGCACATTGCAAGTGGTTTAATGGGGTTGCGTATGGCTGACAAGATAGAGGGTGACGATAAGAGTCCCTCCTTCGGCAGCTTCCGTGGGAGGGAGGGTGCGTGACCGTACGGAATGCCGCGTGACGCGTGTAATAACCGTAGCCGCGCGGGCTCTCCGCGCGGCACGCAGCCTGCACACGGGGACTAAGTGTATACTTACTTGTATATACTTACGTGCAGAGTGCGGTGCCCCAGGTTGCACGGCAGGTGCCGCCGAGGATTCTAAAACGATCATGTCGGCAAAGGGAAGTGAACCGATCAGGCCCGTAGCTACGGCGAACTAAATAGTGACGATGAAGAATAAGCGAAGCATACTTTACGAAATTTTCTCACCATGGAAAAAAGAAATCAGGTTTAAAAAATATTTTAAAGCATGGAATCATTAAATTAGGATCTTATTCGTACATTAAAAACCTTTCGGTTTTGGCATTGTAACATGTCGTTGTGCAACATATTTATTGTATTAGATTTTTATTTTAATTCGGCGGCACTGTTGTATAAGAAGTAATAATAATTTAAAACATAAAAATTTTTAATTGTCTTTTTAATAAGGATAAAATAGACTTTCATTAAGAACCTAAAAATTCTAAGTATACCACTGTGTAAACAGAAAAGAAAGAGCAAGTTCTTTGATGTTGGCCAATCTTGCTGGCTAGCATTAATATTATTTTTTTATCTTTTTATTCCGTTTTTGATTAATATTCTGAAGCTGATATGTTTTGGCGGTATTTTTTATCAACGTGCAGAAAAATGCTCCAAATTCCAATTAATTTGATCGTAGATCAGCGAGTTCGCGTCGCGATTATTGAAGGGTCATGGGGTTTTTGCTGGAAGATAAGAGCTCTCAGTGAGTTGGAATATTTATTTATTATACGAGCGAAACGCAAGATACTTTGTTAAACTCGATCGTGGAACAGAAGTTGCGCGAGAATAAATTCGTTCTCGAAGTTAAGAATATCTTCTTGCGGTTCTGCCTGCTGATTATCACTTTTTCAGCTTTTCTTTATTTCCTGGTCGCTATCTTCTGTAACAGAAATTTAAGCGATTATGTTTAACAATTAAATATGAAGCACTGTATGAAAGTTTTGAAAAAGACTATTATAATAATATATTTTCTAGCATATTCTATTATATTATATGTAGATGTAATCTCTCTCTCTCTCTCTCTCTCTCTCTCTCTCGAATTGCAAACCGATGTTCACTTCTATAAATTAACTTTAATCTTAGTTCAATTTACTTTTTCTAGGAATTAAAAAAAGATACAGAATTAAATCGAAATTAAAGCTAATCTATATTGACAGAAATGTTCATTAGGCAATAAAAAAAAATACAAGTGTAAGAAAGCGCGGAGAACATAAATAGAAAAATCAAATACTAAATATAATTTTGACGTTTTAGAAAAAATTACATCGCGGCATTTCTTATCAAGCCTCATTTCCCACTTTTGTAGAAAGTAGAGATTCAAGGCGTCGTAATTTCGAAACGGAAGCGGAATGGGTCACGGTAGGACGGCGATAATAACAACGATAACGTATTGTTGTCGCGTTCGGCTCCGCTTAAATCGGCGTGGATATTTTACGGCAGCGCGAGCAGATTACAGGCTCAATTAGCATGAGGACTACATAATTAATAACTTGATTAATGCGTCGAAGCGGAACGTCTGTCCATTCGTGCTCGTCAGGTCCGGCCAGCCGCGGCCCGCCGCCGACTCATGGATATCTCGCGTTTGCGCCGGCAGTCGATTGCGTCGTAATCGATTATACTGCGTCGTATAATGTCGCTGTCGATCGCTTATGCTTACCGCTCATCGCGTCGGCACGGCTCGCTTACGTTTATGTATGTTTAGGCCACGTTGTTTAGGCGGAGCAAAACTCATTAGCGCACCATTTCATATTCCGGAAGAGGGAAGTTGGACCGGCTGGCGCGCGCGATCGGTTCGTGCACCGGTTAGCCATTAATTCCGGTCAATTGTCAGATATCAGATCGAAAATCTGGCAATATTGAATGTCACGGCAGTCGGTCGTAGATGTCTATCAGCTGTGCATCATGCGTTTCAAATTCTCGAAACGACAATCGCGAGGATTGTCGGTGAACGTGTATAAATGTCATTATAAAGTTTAAGAGGTTTAACTTTTGTTAATATGGTTAATATCGTTAATTTTCCGTCGACTAATGAAATCTTTAAAGATATCATCGATATTTTGATTGCGAATTGGTAGATATAATTAAATCTATAAGAAATAAGGAGAAAAAATTTCATATATATTTATATGATGATTAAAAACTTTTTGATATAGCTTTGACAAGTGTATCAAATTTTTTCAGATTTTTATATAATCCGCATAATACTTATATAAAAAAAAGAACTGTTTCTCGAAGACTCTTATTGCTGATGAAAGAGAATTAAAATTTTATGTTGCCATAGGAGAGGATTAAGTTTAATAAATAAAAAACTTTAAACAAAGGAAGTTGAAGTTAGAGTAAATGGCGGATAACTTTCTAGAAAAGGTTCTTTAAATTTGCGTTTGCGTTATCTGCACTTTTTGCATTCAGTGTATCTTTGCTTTCTTACTCTCCCCAATGGCCAAATACAAATTTATCTCATTTTAAGTATAAACATTTTTGGGAATTTCAAGTAACGCAAACAGAGAGACCTATTGTATTTTCTAAAAAAAATTCACGATTTGAATGAGAAGAACAAGTTAAAAAATGTAATTGAGAAAATAATCTTTCTTATCTAAATATTAATCATCATTTCTTGGGATCTCGTCAGCGCGCGCATGAAAACTGCGGCGTATGGTTTCGTTTTCGTGAGACTATAGTTCGCATCGAATATCACCATACAGAGTATCTTGGGTACTTCCCAAACAACGTTTTTTCCTATATGTACCCGCAGTACAGACGCAGCAAATTAGAAAAACGAGCTACTTCCGTATACAGGTAGTTCGTGGTGTATATCGTACATTTATCAATGGTGAAGACGGGGAGGCTGATCTCGAAAGACAAGCGCGATTGAGTTACGTTGATTTTATTCCACATTATTCTACCCAGGAATCGCTCCTTGGCCGAATCAGTTTTATTTTCCGGATTGCCGATATATACGCGCGTCGAACGGCAGCTCGCTGGCTGGCTCGCTGGCTGGCACGCCGGGATTAACGTCATTGCGGTTTTTAAGCAGGCAATTTCCTAATTCGGTGCCCGGGGATCCCTGATTTATCGCGCTTTTGCCAGTTATTCCGTACTGCCGGTGATTTACGACGGAGTTCCGTCTCCGCCCCGCTACTTCTTCCTTTTCCTCTTCTGCTTCTTTTGCCGCGACCGTCCGCCGACGACGACGTGTCCTCTTCTCCTCGTTCTTGTACGAGATCAACCTTAGGGGGTGCATCTCGACGAAGTTGTATCACGCCGAGTTCGCGAAAAATCCTCGGAGATGATGCAGATCGTGGAACTTTAATTTGTGAAGCGAACAAAGTTGGGGTCGAGATTGCAAGGAAATCGGTTTGTGTCTCGACAATTGCAATAATACGCGATCATTTGAGATAACACCAAATTTATTTTTTATAATTCTGTTTAAGTTTTCTTAAATTTATTTTGTAGCATAGGAAATACCTACATAAGTGAGAAATAATTTTTGATACTCCACATGTGATACTTTAATCTTTCGGCTAACAGAAATAGAAAAGACTTATTTATGTGAGATTAGACGGGCTCTTTTAATTGCGAATAAAATAATTGACTATTGTAACATTAAGAACTGTTGCGATCTCATTTCTTTTCTTCATTAAAAGAAGCATCTACATAAAAACGTGACTTTTTTTCCGCGCGGTACGCCGTGCATTGCGTTTACCTGCGTTTCGTGCCAGGACAAACAACATTACCGTTACTTGGAAGTTAATTAGATAATTAATTGGAAGTTGTTACGGGGAGGCGCCACGCGTTCGTACGTAGTCGTGCGAAATTTCTGATAAATCATAGGAAGACGTGCGTTTCGGAAGAATACAGCCTATCCTATGTGATTAGACGGTGCAAACAACGACGGTGAGATGCAATCCACTCTGCGGCGTTATACAATAATCAGTTAGCGTGCGGCTTCTGCCGCTCCTCCTCGATGCCGTCTCAGTCCCTTCCCGCGCGTCCATTTTTAATCAAAGGTTTAGAAGGTTACCAAGAGAGAGGAACTTTTTCCGTGATATAGGCTCTTTGGGGTTTTTGCCCCCTTCCTCGTCGGTGAATACGACGAGAGTGGGTTCAACGTACGGCGTGCGTTTATCGAATGCGCGGACTTTCCAGTGCGTGTCTACGCGCGCGTCCGCACGTGGAATTCTGAGGCGAATCTTATGGGAAGTCTCCTCCTTCCGAGGGGAATTATAAACGACGGATCCTGCAAATGCGCGCCGCTCGATAATTAGTTCTAATCAACGTTTAATCGCCGACCGCCGCGCCGTGGCGAAGCGCGGCGCAATCATTACGTTCCCATCAAACGCTACAGTTTTAATATCGCATGCGTGAGATATATGTATATATATATATATATATATAACGCACAAAAGACATACAAATTTTTCGCCGTCTCTTTTCACGGAGAAAAAATATGCGATTGCCATGCGAATTGTGGATCTTTAATTTCTCCAGATGCGATAATCGACATTATATTTCGTGGACATTTTTAAGAAAAATAAAGCGTGCTCCGATTAAATGGGGTAAAATAACATGTCCTACACGAGTCAATGGAATTCGAAGTTGGCCGATCACAATTTTTGTGACTTCGTGGCTGTACCCTCCGGGAAAACATGGAACTCTGATGTAAACTGCGCTTCGCACGCCTCAGATATTTCGCGTCGCTCTCATCGTCGGCGAAAGTATATTTTTTCACGACTCGGTGAAATGAACGGGTCCGGCCCGTTCATCGTTCCTTTGTTATCGTTGAGAGAACGTCGAAACTGTTGTTTCTCTGCGCGCAAAAACAGAGAGAGATGCGGGAGATGGAGGCGATTCACGGTGGACTGATCATCGCGCGAAAACAAGAGCGGCTTGTTTTCGCGGCAGGCAAACTTGATCGGTTTGCGTGCCGCGGAATACCGCATGCGAGTTTGCGTTAAAAAAAGAAAATACATCCGAAAAAAATACTTGGCTGCTATTTCGTCGGTGTGAGTACACTGAGAAAGAAGGTCTTTCGAAAGATACACGGAATTGAGGTTCTACAGGCACTTGAAAATCTATAATTTTCCAAGAAAAAGTGTGATACAGGGGATTAAACTCTATTAAAAGTTTATAGTTTAAAGGTTTAAACATTTTTTTATTTAATTAACTTTGTTTGTATATTTTTTCACCCAATTTCAAATTTTATTATATTTTAACGTGTCTTTATTAAAAAAAAAAGTTGCACTAATTATAAATATAACAGGATGTAGAAGTATTATTATATTCTTCAGAGTGTTTTCTAAGGAAAATGATAGTTGCATGTATTTATACAAATCAGACAAGCTCGCGCTCATTAAGATACTCTCGAGAGGCCACCCTCTTTTGGATTCTCCCGCGTTGACGTTACTAAATGTATTTGTGCGTTGCAGAGGAGGGTGGGCGAGGGTGGAGCAAAACGCAAGAGCAGAAGGGCTTCGTAGAAGATTAGAGGGAGAGAGAGCCCTCGAAACGATCGTTTCGAGGTTAACGAGGAGGGCCGTGATTCGGAGGGGTGGGCGACCAGAGGGAGGATGTAGCTACGGGGTGCTGCAGTCATGGTGGATAATGGCGGAGACGACCAAGTCAACGATAATGGCAGCCCTAGGGACATCGCTCGGATTTGAAGAATAGATCTTCGTGAGGAAACACTCGTTAGCGACCTCCTAACTGTCCCGGATCGTCGCGGTCGCGTTTATGAATTCTGTCAGGAAGTCTATCCCATATCGTCTTTACCGACCCTTCCGACTCCTTCGCAAGTAATTAGATCTATCCTCGCGTTAATTTACTGCTCATCCGCCGCTGAGTAACTATATTTATGAGCTCGGTCGGTCATGCGTGAGCAAA